GAGGCTGAGAGAGGTCAGGTGGCCTGCCCAGGAAGGAATGCATGGCGGTGAGGGACCAATCTGAACTGAGTCTGACGTGGGACACCTGTGCTCTCCAAGCCACCAGGCTGCAGGAGGCGACGCAGGACCAAAGTCCAAATGCCACCAACAATTCTACATTTTTCTTGATGGCAACTGCTAGAAAGGAATGGAAAAATCTCTGGAGACGAATCCAAACCAAAAGGATTGCACTTGCAGGAGGTGAAGAGGAATCTTTGAGCAGATCTATATTGGACGTGTCCAGTATCTTTTATCCTCAAAAACCTTGGTGAGAACAAATCCATTTCCTCTAATGTGTAGCTCTTCAGGAGGGATGGGAAGTGGACAAAAGAAATTTCCGAGTGTCATAACTAACAACCCCAAAGAAAAGGGGAGGAATGTTCTAGAAGCTCCAGTTAGGTGCCCAAGCTCTGCAAGACTGCTGTTAAAGACACAGCTCTAGGAGCCCATGAGGCAGGCGTCACTCTATGTCTGCACTTCTGGCATGTCAACCCTGTTTCCTAATTATCATAACGGACGTGTCCGCCTCACCCCCCAGGCCAGGAGCTTCCCCAGAGGCAGGTAATGTGTCTTGTTCATCTTTGTAACCTACGACAAGCCTTGGTTACACAGATGCTACCCACGGATGAAGCATCAATAACTTTACAATCAAAAAAAGAAGACAAACTCAGTCTAGGGAAGAAAACGCCACTTCAGGAACGTCTCAGCTTCAGACTCACATCTCTCGTGGCTCATCTCCTAGAATCATCAACTCTACTGCTCCCAGGGTAGGGGAGGCCACTGAGGGTAGAGAAAGGAAGTTGAAGGCTGGACCCTTAGGAGGTAGTCAGTAAATATGTGCTACATGAGCTGGTAGCGCCCATCTTTCTCTCAAGATCCCCTCCAGACTCTCCAAGCTCAAATTCCCCCTAAAACTGACCGCCAGGAAAACGTGTGCCTCCTCCAAAGAGCCATGCTTCCTCTTATTAGATATGGAATCCTTTCTGCCAGGATGCTCTGGGTTACAGGGGTGCCTTGTACAACCCACTCTCGACCTGAGAGCGGAGAGAAGTCCATCCATCACTCTTTAAACATGACCCCAAACAGCCGAATCCACTTGACGGACTGTCATCCCATTCGATACTTACAGAGCTCCTACTATATGCTGGAGCCGAATGAGGCAATGAACATACAGTAAAAAAAGATAACGTCCTAGCCTGGCATTCTACTGCAAGTGGCTTCAGAATCGAGTAGGTCCGAGCACGGATGGGAGGCGTTCCCTCCTGCAATAACTGAGGGTGTGGGACGAGGCCCCGCCAGCACCATGCCAAACGGCCGATGTGCCATGTTTCTATCAGCTGCTGCTGGCAACCCTCACCTCCCTCCACGTATTCTCTCAAATAGGACGAGTGACTGGCCCTTCTCTTAGGTGTCTCTTTTTCTCACTGAGTCTGGCCTTCCAGAACACAGCAGGACGATGGGTTTGGGCTCTGGTGCTAGATGGCCTGAGGGATTCGGACCCAGCTCTGCTTCTTACCAGTTGAGAAATCTTAAGACAAGCTACTTCACTTCTCAAAAGCCCATCTGTGAACAGTACCTTCCCTCAAGGAACCCTGCTGAGGACTGCAAGAGTTCATCGACGTAAAGACTTAGCACAGTAACCAGAATTGAAAGTATGCGCTGGCGGCTAGCTGCTAGTATTACAGCGGCTCTTACATAATGAGTGTTTTGATAGCAGTGTTCTTTCCCTGCCAGATTAACCTACACCTGCCAGAATTCTCTTTTCCCTCTTGTTTTCAAAAGTTGACCACCATAGGGTGTCAGGAACAATCTTTGCACAATCTTTCCTGTCCTGGGCCCCTGATTCTCACCAGCTACTACATACGGTGTTGCTTTGGGTTCTGAGCTGTTCATGCAGCGTGCTGTGTATGTGTGCAGGGAGGTGGAATGGTTTTAATGCTTTGAAAGACACCTAGAGAAAGAAGGTTCAGGAACTCCCTTTTCATTGGGATGAATCACAGAGGAGTCATTCAATTGTTGGGGTATTTTAAATAGTCATATTATTTAAAATGATATATTTTTTCTTCCTTTGCCCTTTCGAAATGGGAAGAGCAATGCCTCAACTCTTCCCCCTCATCCTTTTACTACTCCACTCCAACACACGTTTACAACTCTTTCTTGGTAAAAACCAACCCATTAATAAAATGACAGCCGAGCATCACGAAGAATGGGTTTGATTAATGCCAACAAAGAGGGTTCGGCAAAAGTCGTGGTGAAATGAAACACTAATGTTATTCAGAGATGAGAGATCACTGACAGGATCTCACTTTGCAAACAAAAACAGAATGAAAAATCAGTGCGGCGTAGTAAATGCCACTGGAGGACCATCTCTGCTTCAACCTCGCCTCTCTCCCAGCTTGCTGACTACAGCCATCGACTCCACTGCTCCCAGGGTTAAGAGGATCACAGAAGGACGTGAAAGAAGGCTTAAGGCTGGCAAGAGAAGTCTTTTACCCTGATGTGGGAGTTCAACACCTACCTCTCTTGCAGGCAACAAGAGCAACGATGCAAGGGGATCCGACAGTAACTTCACATCACACCTGGATCTTCCCCACACATCACAGCTGGAGTGCAGTGAGGTGGTGAGGCTTTCTCATGGTCAAAGTGGGTGGTGGGGGCTTCCCTGGTGGCGCAGTGGTTGAGAGTCCGCCTGCCGATGCAGGGGACACGGGTTCGTGCCCCGGTCCGGGAAGATCCCACATGCCACAGAGCAGCTGGGCCTGTGAGCCATGGCTGCTGAGCCTGCGCGTCTGGAGCCTGTGCTCCACAATGGGAGAGGCCACAACAGTGAGAGGCCCGTGTACCACAAAAAAACAAAAAAAAGTGGGTGGTGACAGGGCACCCAACCAACACTGAATGAACCAACCAACCAACCAAGCAGCCGGCCCAAGAATGAACTACAGTGTTTCCTCAGCGGGTCAAGCAGCCAGTCCCTTCCTCCCAAGCCCCTCCGAGTTTCTGATGAGCATGTCAATCCCCCAGATCGCTGCCCCAGGCCCGGCACCCAAAGGAATCCAGGGACACAAGCACTGGTCTCTAAGCTGTGCGGGTCTGACCACATCCTTACAAGTGGACACCTCGCCCTGGTTCCCCTGAAGGGACAGAGGCTCCCAACCCCCTTTCACTCTGGTAAGAACCCTTCACCCTTCCTAGCTCAGCAGCCCTTCCTTCATTCAGCAAACCAGAGCCATCCCTGTCCCAGGAGAATTTCAAATACTTTCACTCAAGGGCTATTTAGCTAAATTCACCGCCTGTCAACAGTCACTGAGAATACAGTGATCAAAGAGTCTCTGCCATCTAGAGACCCGGAGTCCACTAGGATTGTCACAGTTCTGAGGGTAAGGGGCCCGCTCCCCTCTCCACCCAGGCTTTCTGCCACAGCCAACTCTGGTCTCATGATCCCTCTGAATGAAGGTCCACGGATGGGCAGAGTGGTGGGCAGAGACGCTGCAGGGACCACCTCCCCCGTGCCCAGGCCCGCCCATCCCGGTTTTTAACTCTTCACCCAGTTGCCTGTTTGGCTGAGACCTTGGCTTGCTCTCCCTTGAGCTCACCTGAGTTAGAACTCAAGTTGCTTCTAAAGTCAGCTCCCTTCTTTCGAGGTCATTTAGAGACAGAGGAAACAGACCACAAGGATGGCAGCCTGAACCAGAATGAGCTCAGGGGCTGCTCCTCAAAGGCCCTACCCCTGAAGCCCACCCCAGGTCAGGCACGTCTCCACGGCAGCTGTGGGTGTTTTTCTGATTCCAAAAATAAAACTTACTCACCGTAGAAGATTTAGAAAGTACTAAGTATAGGTGTATACTTTTATGTGTGTATGTACACAAACATACATGACTTGTAATAAATACTACCACCACTGGATCACCACGACACATACACACACCTGTATATATATTAGTTACCTAATCAAAAACTTACTCTCCCAGCTTTACCATTGAGTATGGTGATAATTAATGGTTTCTGACAAAAACATTTGATCATACCAAAAAAGGACCTTTATTCTTCATTTACCGAGAATATTTTATGAGATATCGATGATGAGTGTTACCAAATGGACATTTTGGTACCTATCAAGATAAATATCTGGTTTTTCTCCTTTGATTTATTAATGGGTGGACTTAATGGATGAATTTCCTAATGTTAAACCATCCTAGAAATCCTAAATACATTTTAACTTTTTATATATGTTGTTCCTTTAATATATGACTGAATTTGACAGAGCGATACCTTTCTTGAATTGTTATGTATCCACGCACAAATGCTACCAGTCTATACTTTTCTTGTTTCTGCTATCTTTGTCAGATTTTTTATACTGGAGTGATACACACTTGAACCAAGGTACAGATATAGATAAAAAATGCTCTAAGAAAATATAAATAGTGAAGGACTTTTTGTATACACCTTGAAGGGTGCCCTGAAAATCACCATAAAACCATCCAGGCTTGCTACCTTCTTGGGATACAGTTCTTTCTTAACTTTTATAACTTTCTTCCACAGATATTTTTGGTCCCTTCAGGTAGCCTGCCTCAGCTTCAATGAATTTTGATACTGAATGCGATCCTAGAAAACAGTCCATCTCATCCCTATTTCCCCATTTCTCAGCACACAGTTGTATGTGATATTCTCTTCTGTTTTGAACATTCTCCAAATCCAAGGGTACAACTGTTTTCTTATTTTTCACGTTTTCTCTCTTATCTCCTTGCCACAGGTTTCTAATTAAATGATATTTTTCAAAGAACCACGTCTTTCTTACATTTCTCTATCAATTACAATGGTTTTATCATTTTGTGTTTTGTTTGTGGGAGGCGGAGTATGTGACTGCTTGTTTTGCTGACATCTGTTTAACAGGCTGGGCCTCTGTCTGAAAAACCTCCAAAGCAGCCAACGTCGGGAATAAACGCAGACTCTGCCACCCTTACCTCAATGAGCTTTCTTTCATAGGAGCTTGCTAGTTCCTCGGCAACTTCTCCCGGCTTCTGGTCAGTAACTGTAACTTCTCCATCAACATTCCAAAGATTTGGTACAACTTTAGGAAAAGAAAGACATTCCATAAGTATTTTAACAGTAATCAAAAATAATTCTCCCAGTTGAAAAAAAAAAAATTCTTCTTTTCCAAATGGCTTCTCCAGAGAGAAAGCTCTTGTTAAAGGAGAAAAAGAAGATCACAATTACTAATTACTTCAGCATTGCATCATTTTCACAGAAGTACAATAAATCAAATGATAAGCTGTATTTAAGAAGAGCAATAACTGTCCTAGAGACAGATGCACAGGAGTCTGGGGAACGATCCTATAGCTACTTTCCATTTCAGGGGAAAGCAGACAATGTTTTGGCAAATATAAGAGCCTACACTTACATCTTTTATACTGGTCAAATTTCTTTTTCTCCAACAAAAAAGTTTTCCAGGAGATAGCACCTGCCTAGAGCCTGAAGTGAAATGATAACGGGGCTCAGATTACATTTAGAACCAAGGAATCTTCTGGAAAAACTCTAAAACCAATGCACAATGACAATGCAAAGACATCTTCATGAGATACTGACTCTCAGGTCAGCGCAAGAATTAGCACAGTATTTTAAGGAACCTCCATACCCTTTTCCATAGTGGCTGCACCAATTTACATTCCCACCAACAGTGGAGGAGGGTTCCCTTTTCTCCACACCCTCTCTAGCATTTACTGTTTGTAGACTTTTTAATGACGGCCATTTTGACTGGTGTGAGATGATACCTCATTGTAGTTTTGATTTGCATTTCTCTAATAATTAGTGATATTGAGCATCTTTTCACATGCCTGTTGACCATCTATATGTCTTCTTCAGAGAAATGTCTATTTAGGTCTTCTGCCCATTTTTTGATTGGGTTGTTTGTTTTGGTTTTTTTATATTAAGCTGTATGAGCTAAAAACAGAGTTACATATATCCGGAGAAAACTTTAATTTGAAAAGATACATGCACCCCCATGTTCATAGCAGCATGATTTACAATAGCCAAAACATGGAAGCAACCTAAGTGTGCACTGACAGATGAATGGGTAAAGAAGATGTGGTACATATACATAATGGAATACTACTCAGCCATAAAAAAGAATGAAATAATGCCATTTGCAGCTACATGTACGGACCTAGAGATTATCATACTAAGTGAAGTCAGAAAGAGAAAGACAAATACCATATGATACCACTTACGTATGGAATCTTAAAAAGTGATACAAATGAACTTATTTACAAAATAGAAATAGACTCACAGACAAAGAAAACCAATTTATGGTTACCAAAGGGGAAAGGAGGGGAAGGATAAATTGGGAATTTGGGTTTAACAGATACACACTACTTTATATAAAATAGGTAAACAACAAGGACCTACTGGATAGCACAAGGAACTGTAATAACCTATTATGGAAAAGAATCTGAAAAAAATATATATATATGTATAACTGAATCACTTTGCTGTACACTTGAAGCTAACACAACATTGTAAGTCAACTATACTTCAAAAAAAAAAAAACAGAGCACAGTAGATGCCCATGGCATTGTTTCCACTATCAGGTATATACCCACATATGCTCACTTTGTAGAGAAGAGTAAAAAGATAAAAACTGGGAAAGAGCCAGATAATTCCGAGATAAGCAGAAGGAGAGCAGTGGAGAACTCCTGCACGAGCAGCTAAGAAGACCCAGCAGTGTGACTATGGATTCGCCCCACGTCTGAAAACAAGCATCAGGGATGCAGATGTAGATCCTGTGTGTCCTGAGATGAGATTCCTGGATGCCCCATCAAGTGTGATGAGACGGCAATGAGGCAGAACAGGAAGCTAAGGTGAGCCCCCCAGCGACTGGGATTCGAGAGACACGGGCTCTGGTCAGGCACTGAGGGAGAAGTCAACACGGGGAAAAGCTGAGCAAAAATGGGACTCACTGCTGGGCCTGAACTGACCAGTGGCTCCACCTTCAGCCCTTCACGGAGCCTCCATCAGGCCACAGCTGATCAGGGCCCCGGAGGTAGCAAGGCCCCTGAGTGACGACACAGAACGTACTGGAATAAAACCCTAAGTGGTTTCCATCCCAGCAGTGACTATAGCTCCAGCCACTACTGCAAGGAGTGACCCAGTAACAACCTGTTTAAGTTGACAGATTGAACATGTTAATTTACATTCACAACCTCTCAAAATCTCATTAAAATACCAATTAAAAATAATTCCTTCTAAAGGCACCACCCTTAAAGAAAAAGAGAATGAGAGAGAAAACAACACAACAAAATTTTAGAAGCTAAGAAGAAGGTAGGTAACTGGTGAGGAACCTGACAGACCTGAGAAAATTTCATTCTCAGCTACAAGTGGGCAACCGCAAAACACAATCTGATTAAAGTGAACAACCTGCATAGACTGCTAACACGAGACACTTCTAGAAGCGGAAGTGAACACCAGCTAAAGGTCCAAAGAAGGGATAAAAGTCTGCCTTAAGAAGCAACTAGCAGAAGACTAGGGGTTTATTCTCCAGAAAAGGTTAAAAAAAAACCCAAAAAAACCCAGTAGCTGCACCTGAGTTGAAGGTAGGGGTATCTTACTAAAAACAGAGGTAAAAATAATACACACTGAACTTTTGAAGTTTTGCCATTCTTCTTCCCTCCCCACTCCCAGAGCAGCAGGCATCAGGCATATACCTCTAAGCAAGGGAACAGAAAGTAATTTCCTAGGAATCTACCAGCCAAAGAGGAAAGGGCTCAATGTGGGAGGTTTTCCGGGAAAATGGCACAGCCCCTCAAACAGTGTTTTAGTACCCCACTCCTACATCTGAGAAGACAGCCAGAAATCACCTTACATTTGAGGCAAGCACCTAAGATGAAAGACAGGGACCAGAATAAACAAATAGAGAAATCAACATGTAGGAAAGAAAAATTATTAAGTGAGAAGAACGTTTCAAAAGCAATCTACTGGTAATACTCCCAGAGAGAGAGGAGAAGGTGCAGTTGAGAAACGGGAAGAGGGAGACACTTGAAAAGAACACACAGAATGTATAAAAGCCCTTTGGAAAGCAAAACTATGACAGCAAAAATGGAATACCATGTATAAGGGATAGACGGTAAAGAAATTTCTAGAGAATAGAGCCAGAGGATGACAAAATGGAGAACAAAAAAGGAAATCAAGAATTACCAAATGAGAAGAGCTCGAGAAAGAAAAAAATAACACAGAGAGGAGGAAGTCAAAGATACAATTCAAGAAATGTCCCAGAACCACCAGACATGAGTGTTGAAGCTGAAGAGCTCTACTGAGCTTGATGATAAGCGATGCTCACGTGCTCACAGTGAAATTCCACAACACGGGAGACAAAGAGGAGAGGGTACAAACTCCTGGAGTGGAAGCAGAAGTTTTACAAAGGATAAAAAAAAATCAGAAATGGCATAGGGTTTCTGAACAGCATCACTGTAAGCTAGAAAACAATGAATCTTCAATGTCCTGAGTGGAATTACTTCCAACCTGGAATGATCTACAAAGCCAAACCGTTTGAGAAGCGGGTAAAGGCGTTTACAGACATGCAACCTCTCAAAAATTTTACCTCCCACCCAAAGAAGAGAAGAAATCCAGGAAGAGGAAGACAGAGATGCCAAGATATAGGAGATCCAACACAAAAGTGAGCTTGAGAAAATTCTTAATGATAACCAAAGTGGGAAGAACCTGCAGGCCATCATGGATAAACGGATAAACAAAGTGTGGTATGCCCATACAACGGGTTAGTATTCAGCTTTAAAAAGGAATGAAGTGCTGACACATGCCACAACACGGATGAACCTTGAAAACATGATGTTAAGTGAAAAAAGCCACACGTGATGTTAAGTGAAAGGCCTCATACTGCATGATTCCATGAAATGTCCAGAGTGGTATTGATTTACAAAGGCTGGGAGGAAGGAGTGATGGGGAGTGATTGCTAATGAGTATCAGGTTTCTTTCTGGGGTGATAAAAAATGTTCTGGAAACAGAAAATGATGGTTGCACAACCTTGTGAATATACCAAAACCACTGAACTGTGCACTTTAAAGGGGTGAACTGTATAGTATATGAATTATATCTCAATAAAGGAGGAGTGAATTGGCGAGTACAGGCCCACAGAGTAGTCAGGCTTCTTCCAGGTACAGGTCAGAGGACCCCAGGAGAGACTGCCTCAGGATGACACTGATGACTCAAGTGTTTGAAAACATTGAGATTTATATAACTGAGGGAAATTTTGAAGTTGAATTAGTGATAAGTATGCAGAATACCAACAAAATTTAAAAAACAAAAACAGGTAAGTATTAATTTCAAAGAAATTTACAAGTTGTCCAAAAATACTAATCATATATCTCATGGCTCAACTGTGGAGAGCATTTTCAGAGTCATAATAATGTAATCGTGGATCATGGATCTAACCAAAATGAGTACATGACTGTGCTAGATTATATGACAGCCAGAGGGTGTGTGCGTGTATATGTCTGTCTGTGTGTGTACACAGTTCAAGGGCGTGGAGGATCAGAGAATGCTACCCTTCATCTTCCACAATGAGAAATCAATAAACAACACCTACAACTAAAAAATCAACAAATGGCAATAGACACACATTATTCAGAGATACGAAGGTAACTACTAAAACAATCAGTTAAAAAGTCTGAAGCAGCTGCTTGTGAGGAGTGGGAAATGGGGAAAGACGGCAGCTAGAAGTATCAGGTCTTTTACCACAAGGCTATGTACAAAAGCTCAATTTTTTAAAAAACTAAACTCAATTTCATTTGGTGAAATAAATTTTTTTAAATTTTTAAATAAAAAGCTGAAAGGCTGAAAGCATTTCCTCTAAGATCAGGAATAAGATAAAGATGCCCACTCTCGCCACTTTTATTCAGCACAGTGTTGGAAGTCCTAGCCACGGCAATCAGACAAGAAATAAAAGGAGTCTAAATTGGAAAGGAAGAAGTAAAACCGGCACTGTTTGCTGATGACATGATACTATACATAGAAAATCCTGAAGATACCACCAAAAAAACGACTAGAGCGCATTAATGAACT